GGCAGATGATAATTTTCAATTCTATGGGGAGCCGGGCCCCCTTGGACTCCCCTTTCGTACGTCTATGGCAAGGGAGTTAAGCCATTGAAGTCGAGGATGCCCAGAAAGGAGCCTCTTAGCATCCGACAACGAAAGCAAATGAAACACAGTTACTAAAAATATCATTCTACATATACTCAAAATCTTGAAAATCTCTAAAAAAGTAAGAAAAATTTTATAGTGCCCTAGCGTGTTTTTGAAACTTTATTCACCTTTTGCGGAATTTTTAGGGTAATTTTTTCACTTTTCCCTACGAGACAAGGGTTACACATGAATTCGTAGTGGTTTGTCACCTGCGTCACGGGCCCCGGTACCAGGAACCCAGTATCCCCCCCCCCCCTTGTGGTGGGCCTGAGGGCCGGATTCACTTACTTGCCGTCCACGGGCCGCCTGTATTTTGCCGCCCCCTTCTCATTCGTTTTGAAACATCAATAAAAACCATCAAGTGAACGTGCCGGAGAGGGAGGGGTGCATAAGATGCGTTTACTCAAGTTAGACACATTTTTTGCGAAAGCCCTGTCAACACTACTGGCAAAAGTTCACGGAACTTGACGCGAAAATTAAGTTCCGTAAAACTCTCTCTGTGTGGACAAGACCTTCCATATATGCATATGAAATGAACGAAAAAATTATGAAAGAACAAACATAAATGTGGTTTGGTGCAATGCGTGAAGTATTCCTACAGTCTTGTATGAGCTATGCGCTTCACGCCGACCGCTGCTGCACGCACTGTGTTTGACGCAATGCGTGAAGTATTCATGCAGTTGATGCAGTCTTGTAGGCGCTATGCGTTTCACGCCGCGCCGCCGCCCGCTGCTAACCGCAGCGACCGCACTGTCTTTGACGCAATGCGTGAAGTATTCATGCAGTCTTGTAGGCGCTAACATGTGTTACATACCGATCGCCGCGCGCCGCGGGTTTCTCCTTTTCATCTCAAGTTCTCGTCATCATTGCTCTCTGCGCCGCGTCGTTCCAGGCCAAATTCCGTGTTAGGTTTCTCTCTTAGTCTTAACTTGACTAATTAAAAGTGCTGTCTATTGTATCACAGGAAGACGACAAAATTAGAGATATACTCTCAGGAAATTAAAGATTTTGTCACCGTTTCTCGTGTGTAATTTTTTTTTTTTTCTGAATCCGATTTTTCTTTATAGCTACACTAAAAAAAATTGCAAAATTTGCCGCCCCCTAAATCCGGCCCTGATTCGACCTCAAACTTGCCAACAGAAGTCATCGTGCCTACAACAAATCCGCCGATGGAGACAATCTGACTTTCATATTAGGAAGACGATATCTCTGTTCAACCACGTGGGAGCTTGTGTTGCCTACACTAAAAATTGAAGGCGAATTGACATGGCGTACAAAAAATAACCTCTTATTCCGCTTCATAAAAAGCTATTTTTACAGTTTGTTCCGATTGAGCCGGCCCTTCCTAGAAGGTAGGTACTACTATTCGACCACGCGGGAGCTCGTGTTGCCTACACTGAAATTGAAGGCGAATTGACATGGTGTGAATGTCTTCTTTTCTGTTTCGTAAAAAAGTATTTGTTGTATGTATTCCGAGTAAGCAAGCAATTTCGCAATGATACCAATATTGGACCTCGTGCGAGCTTGTGTTATCTATGCTAAAAATTGAAGGCGAACTGATATGACTTGAGAGTAACTTCTTCCTGTTTGGTAAAAAGCAATTTTTAGTTTGTTGTGAAAGAGCTGGCCTTTTTCAAAACGAAGCAAAAAAAATCACGAATCAATTGTTACATCCCAAGTAGCATTTTTCAACGGAAAAATCGCGATTTTATCGCCGATAAAGTCGCGATTTTATCGCCGATAAAGTCGCGATTTTATCGCCGATAAAGTCGCGATTATCCTCGATTTTATCGGCGATAAAATCGCTAGGATCATCAACATTTGAGCGATTATCCTCGATCTTTTCGCGATTTTATTGCGATTTTATTGCGATTTTATCGGCCCGAAAAAATTGCGATTTTATCGCGATAAGATCGAGGATGATCGCTCAGATGTTGATGATCCTAGCGATTGATAAAATCGCCGAAAAAAAGGGGTTAAAGTTGTCAGCCGATTGCCGTTAGGTTCAGCCGTCAGGTCCTTTGACGAAGACGAGCGTAAAATCCCCGGAGCCTCCGCGGGGATTCGAACCCCAATCGCTACGGTGGAAGGCCAGCACATTGTCACTATGCTATGACCGCTATATGACTTGCTTGTGCGAATTGAAGCCTCTTATACATGGATCGGCGCTTCGCAACCTCACAACTTATGTCTTTGCGTTGACTGACACCGATTTTTCATTGGATTTTTTTTTTTTTTAATTTTCCCTCCTCTGTATTTTATTTCATACCTTGAAATACGGTTGGTAAAATAAGGTTCTATTGGTAATCTCATCATTCTGTCTCTGTAAAATTACCAATAATAGGGAGATGGCAAAGTTACCGATGGACCTTGGGAAAAACGCCAATAGTTTTTATCGACTATGGTAGAATTACCGAGATAAAATGGTAAAGTTACCGGGGATTGATTACCAATAAAAGTGGTATTCTTACCTGAAAAAATCAGTAAAAATACCGGTTTTCAGGTAAGCTTACCAGTCTGTCTTTGTAACATTATACTAATAATTGATAAAAAAAAATGAGATGGTTAAGTTACCAACGGATCTCGGTAAAAACGGCGGCGGCGGAATAGAAACATCTTTCATATGCGTCATTCATGCGTTAATGAAAAATTGCAATTTATTGCAATTTTATCTCTATAAAATCGCGTTCGATAATATCGCGATTTTGTTGCAATTTATCGCGATTTTTCTCCCGATAATATTGCAATAAATCGCGACGTCGATAAAATCGCGATACATTCTCCAATTAAATCGCAATTTATCGCGATCACTGCTACTTGGGCATGGGTACCTACTTAATTCAGGCATGGCTCTCTGAATTCTGATAAAAAGTCTTCAAATGGTGAAAATTTCAAAATTTTGCATGGAAGAACACTGAAGCTCCTCTCTTCTGGCCTTGCAGTCCTGCATATGTGTCAAGAAAGAAAATGCTCTAAGAGAATTCTGCAGACATATTATCATAGGATAGTCTGTGAATATTCAGAAAATAATCTCTTAGAAATATTCTGATACGTGTATTCTTGGAATATCCAAATAAGTAAATTTTTTGGAATACTCAGACAGGTACCTATTTCTTTTCTATTCCTTCTTAAAATATTATGAGAATATTCTGGCGAAATTATATTCTGTGAATGCTCATAGAATTTACCCTTTGGAATATTCTGACGGTTGGATTCACTAAATATTCTCAGCATAGGTACCTTTCAGAATATTTAAAAGTGCATGCCGACAGAGCTTTTCCAAAAGAAATTCTTGCAAGACAGTAAATAACTTCTTACGTTTAAGCATACTCCTGCCTCGGTCAGAGGAAATTCCTAAAGTTTTGTCTTACCCTCTCGTTTGATTGCATTTCAGTTGAAATTGCTTAGCTGAAGCATGATTTGAAACATTTCACAAGTATTCTCCAACAATATCTGATGAGTACCTATTTGTACTGATGTACCCTGTCAAAAGAAAGAGCTGTCGTCTTTCCCTGTGAATTCAGAAATTGTTGGTCAATTCAACCTTGATTGTTTAAACAAGGAAGTAATTTTCTCCTTGTAATCGATTCTGATCCAACAGTCCACAACCAAGTATGTGACTCGGGAATCTTAACTTTCACACTGTCATGCTGCTTAGACCCATTGATCATCTGATGATAGCTTTTGAAATTGCACCGATTATTTACTTCCACTAAGCGTCCAATGCTGATTTGGATCAACAAGAGCTAACTTTATTCAGTTATTAATTATTATTTATTGTAAATGTACTCCTTAATTATATCAGTTTTGGATGCAAAACATCCGTACTTTAGTTCTTTTTTTCTCTTTTTCAACAAGGAGAGTGATTGAATAACAACACAGTTCAAAATAAATATTAAAAATATAATTCCTTGGAAATTTCAGGAAATAACACTTCATCTTCAGTTTTTTTGTCTAACATAAAGCTAGGTACATTTAATGACACTTGGGGGAAAAGAAATACTGAGTTACACAGAGAGAAAATACAATTTTCTTTTAAAAAAGTGGGGGAGATGGAAACCAATTAAAAATGCCTTTCATCATATTAATGACAAACTATGATCTATGACAAAAAAATTCAACAATTGTGATGGTAACAAGATGAAATATACAAATGACTAATTTGAGGAACTAACCTAAAAGTAAACGATATGTTGTTGTTTTTTTTTTTTTTGTGAGGTAAATCTTTATGGTGAAAATCTCGCTAAAAGCCTATAGGGCTTAAACATATTTATAATTAAATTCTCAAATAGACTTATTTATCAGAATCGGTCTAATTATCGCATGCTGCCTACTATCTTTTCATTTTTATCTTTCAACAGAAAAATGTGTAACTCTCAGCCATGAAATTTTGAGAGTAAATTGTTATAATCAACAGAGAGTCTCAAGGTGTTATAATATTTAGTTTCCTGTTATAAAAGTAAATCATGAGACAAAATCAGGCATGGTCTGAGAGAGTTTGGCTGATTCTGGGTGATGCTGTCTGTGTATACTAGCTTGTTGACTTAAAAGGATTTGACAACATACAATTGATTTGACAGATGTCATAAGCCTTGTCTTCACAGGATATTTTCATGAGATTTATCGCAAGGAAAAGTCTCACTTGCACAGTTGGGACGAAAATTGACTGACTCAATAGTAGTTGAAGTAACAAGTAGAATTCTGCAGAGAGTTAAGACCAACTGAAAGATGAAAAAGAAGTGAAAGCTAATTTTGTGATGTTTTGTTGTTAACTCATTGTTCATGTTTGTTTAATTTAAGTAATTTAAGTAATTTGTTTAATAGTTTATTGAGTTCAATTATCATCTTGATTCCATTAAGTTCCTCGATTTTTACTAACTTATCTTCCCATGTAAACTTGTCATTGGAATGTGAGAGCCCTATCTTGTGGAGACAACAACTAGGAGAAATCCTCGAAGTTTCATTCCAGCACTTTGACCATGGGACAAATTTCATGAAAAAGGTGGGTGGAAACAAGGACATATGAGGAGACAATGAGGCTGGTATTCATTTGCCCAAAAGAGGTAAACAATTTTAATTATTCTGTGATAAAATATACGTCAGAAAGAAACGATATTGCTGGGTTTGAAATTCCAATTATAGAAGGTTGGGTAGACAAGGAGGAACATTTTCAGACCTCAGGCTTTGGTCAGTGAGGCCTAATATTATGGGTTAGATATATTAGAAAACCAGCTGTGAGACAAAAACAGAAAATTTTGATCTTACACCTAACAATTCATGAAGGGAGAGGAATGGGAGATGATCAGCAAAAATCACTTTCCACCTAAAAAGATTGTCATAAATTGAAAACAAAACATTGGCTATGCACTTTTAAAGTTATTTAAAATTCTGCCAGTATGATCATTCAGTTAGCAAAAAATACAATTCAAAACCGACAGATGCTCAAAAAACACGGTGAACTTCATAGTTATGGTAGAAACGTGTAATTTATAGAATTAGTAGAGAAAGATGGAAGAGTAGATTAAATTCAAATCAGAATGCCTTGTGCCAAGTACAGATGCAATAGATTTAAAATTCTAAGCGTTAATTTCAAGACTCTTGCCTAAAGTGCATGATGAAATTATGAGAAACGTTAATGTAATCCATCCGACACCAAGAGCTTGGCATTGAATTAATGTTAATTAAAGACTGAGTCAGTTTTCAATATGAGGCGAAAAAATTAATTCCATTATGTTACGGTTCTTCACAACTTCAAATGAAAGAACTCATTTCCTACCCTTACTACTATCTCAATAAGAGGTACAATTCCATTTTTATTTATTTTTTATTCTTAACTTTAAATAAAATCTTCCATTCATACACATGTATTAAGGATAATTAAACATATACTTTAGCCAATTAGGCCAATGCACATAAAAAACAAATAAAAAGTACAATTTTAAACGAGCATAGTTTTGAAAAAGAAAACAATACATAAAATAGTCTGGAGACTTAAAAACACAATAGTACAAGACAGCAAAGACAGACAAAAAATCAAAACAAAATGCCTGATATTTGGTTTCACAGCATTCACAGTCCCTTGATTTTTCAGGAAACACAAACTAACTTAAACTTTGAGAAAAATCCCACGAAAGTGATAATGGCTGAGTGTAACCTGAAAAAGTAAAAAGTAAGCAGTGTAGGATAAAATCTATGCTCCATTATCACTATCATAGGTAGAATCGTCTGATTTTTGCTTTAAGTTTTGATTAATTTGTAGTTTCCTGGTCTACAGAGGAGTTATGATGATCCCCAAAAGGTCCAAGGCTTTTTGTGGAAATTCTTGGCCCTCTATGCCCACTGTTTTTTGTCCCGTTTCACTTAAAAAAAGATAGTACCCAAACAAAATGGTAACAACAAAAGTTTAGACCTACTTACACTCGACTAGGGACACTTGAAATTCACAATTGCCAATAAGTGCAAGTATGGAGTCATAGACTAGTTCCACTCTTCATATTGCTATCAAGACAGAACAGAGGATAAATTGGTAAAACATACTCAAGTAATATTGTATTTTTTCGAGAATGATCTAATCCATTTTTGACAGTTTTTTTAAGGAGAGAAAAAGTAAGCAATCACTGGTTAAATTTACATTTTTCCGATCCCTAAATGGTTTGCATTCCATGCAGGATTGATTGCTGCTATTAAATAAACACGGTGGATTGGTAACACATTTTAAAGAAGTCCTTTTTGGTTTAAACTTGATGAGCAAATGATAAGTTAATGCTACTATTGAAGTTAATCACCATTCACAAAATAGAAAATTCTTGAGAAATTGGGCTTTTCCGTTTCTAGACTGAGGTTTTAAAAATTGATTTTAGTTTGGGAAAGAAAATGCGTAAAATCTATATTTAAAAGGAAAGGTGCTACATTGGTTGATGAAGATCAAATCATTACATTACATTATCCATGAGTATGTAGGTAACATTGAGAGAAAAACTGAGGAAAAGACAATCCCCTATTTTTCTAAACTCAAAAATTAAGACAAAAATGTAAGGTTGCAACCAATCCAAAAACTTGAGAGACATAAAAAGAAAAATGCAAGAACATGAGCAATACATACAAGGTTTTTGACAAACTAAATAAGTTAAGAGGAACCTATGGCTAGGTTACATTGAGGGAAAAATAATCTTAAAGCTTTGGATCTGCTTGAAACAGCAGATCAAGAACCAAATTAAAACCAAACACACACTAGCAGAGATGTGCCCAAACTTTCATTTAAAAATTGATACCTACCTATAATAGTACTTTAAGGACTGAACCCAAAAATATGAAATAGTGTTGGGTGGTATTTTTGATCAAGGTGTACTTGGTACTTGCAACAAAGAGTAATACAAGGAAAAGATACATATTTTAGAGTTGCCAACCGTTATCCGCAGAAATTAAATTTCATTTTAAACATTTGTCTATGATGTTTTGTATAACTTCATTTCATTTATGTTTAATTGTGAAATAAAGTGAGAAAACTGAGGTCCTTGCTTTTCTGCCACAGATTACTAGGAAAAAAAAAGTGTTTCTGTTAATTAATTTGGGATTATTAGAATAAACAGAACTTGAGAACAAAAAACATAAAGCATTTTCCTCTCAACAATTAGGATGTTCTGATTTCAGTCATAGTAAAATGAAGTGGCGCATTTAGGACAAGAACCCCACAGCAACAAGAGGTTTTTGCTTCAGGCCACATTGTATGGAAGAAAAACAGTGGATGAATACTTGGTAAAAGACTATAAAAATTGCTCTGACAGTATTTTTTTTTCCATGGTTTGACAGTAACTTAAAAAAAAAAAAAAAAAAAAAAAAAAAAAAAAAAAAACTAATTGAAAGATGAAAACACTGCGCAATCTATTTGGCAACTCCGATGATTTTACGGACATTTCAAGTGTGCATTGCAGACAGAGAAAATGAACATGATTACAAAAATGCACCCTTAATAGTTAAAAAAATAAAATGCTGATGATGAGATGCTGTCAGCCAAGATAATTTAAGTGAGGAAGTGTAGCTGCTGACTGATTGAAACGTATTTAGCATCTTGATCGATCAAAAGAGTCATCACGTTACATATCCAGTCCATTGTATCGTGCAGAGTCGTGATGTTTAGGGTAGATACGAAATAGAATTTTCGTCAAAATAATTTTTAGGGACAATTTATTTTTGAGCTGCTGTGATGATGCTGGGATAGAGTTAGAGAGAAATAACCAAGTAATCCAAATAGTTCATCTTCAACTTTCACAAAATTAGCACATCCAGCTAGCTCTGGGAAAAGGAGGAATCCCCTTATCAAATCCAGCAAAAATGTTGAAGTTTCTCGATTTGGTCATTCTTCTTTTATTCCTCCCTTATAACAGTCCTTCCATTATTTAAGTTCTTTCATAGAATCAATGTTATTGAATTGGGAAATTGAGAAAAGAATAACGAATTGCAGATGATTTGGTAATGAGACCAATCAAACAGGAGGAATCAAAGATTGCATCTCCTAACTTTGGTCAAAAACTGCTCCGGGTCTTTTGATTTGAATTTTACACGCTGGGATCCTTAATTTTAACTTCAGACTTAAATTACCTTTGCACGGACAAACATCATCATCACATTACAAGAAACTAATAAAAATGTTGATAAATATAAGACTATAAATTCGACATATCACAGTTTTTAAAAACAAGAAGAGACTATAAAAAAACAACAATCAGGACAAATGAGCATGGCAAACGATTGCTTGAGGTAAAAACTACCTCTGCGGAATGGTCATATTCAGGCAGAGTTCATGATCTCGAATGTCGCCCCAACCTCCATTGCCCTTTTTCAGGGGTTTCTTTTTCACAGTCATGAAAATGACACTCAAGTGCTTTGGGTAGAAATGTTTGGACGCTAGCTGAAGGATTTTTTGTACTTTCGATATGATAATGGTACTAGTGCAGCTACTCTTGTGATGAACTCCACTGAAAAAAAAGGCAAAATGCTAAAAGTTAATTATTTGGTAACCTTCAGAACAGTTGTTCCTAGCTTTGAACATTTGTCCCTTCTGTGACAATGCTACAGCATCAAAATTCATATATCGACGGTGAAACTACCAAACCACGTATCTCGTTTGCGGTGTTTAAAAATCTCCGCTCGCATTTTATTTTTTTGAAGTAGACAAAATCAATATCATTCCTTGAAATTTTCACAGAATTTTCTCCGCACAAAGAGGAAAAATCACAGAAATTTTCAAGACTGGACGTTAAGTAGTTTGTCATTTAAAAAATAAAGTATGACAGGAAGTCTGCGACGTCGCAAACCGAGATACGTGGTTTGGTAGTTTCACCGTCGATATTTAGTGCCTGTAACTAGAGTACTTACTCAGTCACAATTGATAAAGAACTCGAAAATTCCTTCACCTCTTTAAAAGTGCATGCAATTGCTTCGATGGGTCCTCTCCTCCACCTCTACAGTAGTTTTTTTGCGACTCTTTTTTGACTATCCTTTTTGTTGCTAAAGCTATAATCTCAAATTTTGTATACAACTTAAACAAATTTTCAAATTCAGTGTTAACTAAAAAGAAAATTGCAGAATGAAGAGAAATGATTTTACTTGCTGACAACTATGACACTGATTAACTGCGGTGTGACAGAGCGGACATAGTTGCCTGTTTTGGACACAATTCATTTCAAACATTCGTTAAACACTTTAAGAAAAGCACTACATTAGAAAATATGACTTGGTGTTCTTAGAGGCAATAGAAAGAATTGGGTGAATGACAGAAAATTGATGGCATTAACTTCAGTCTTGTTTTTCAATTTTCATCATGGTGTCTAGAATTCTTGACCAAGCTCATCTCTAATTTTCAGAAGCTCATTCTCTGATGAGAAACTGAAGCTTCCTCTCACTTACCTGGGATTATCTTGGGAAGAACTATCAAATTTTTCCATCTTTCAGCCAATTTGTTGGGAACAATTCGAGTTATCAAGTCTGAAAGTGTTCTAGATGTTAATGATATCTGGTCAATGAAAGCTTCTCTATGATTAAGATTATTTTAAGGATGAAATGTCATTCAAGAGATCAAGAATGACGGCTCTGGTGCAATACCACAAACCTAAATCACAACAAGTACTTGAAAAATTTCCACAGACTTTGAAAACAGAATGGTCTCCAAGCGGTAGAAGAAGTGATTCCCAGTTAGTGAAACGGTTTGCATGATTTTCCGTGAGATTTTCTGATGAATGATGATTTTTTCATGAATCTCGGTTTTTCCTGGTCCTAGACACCATGTTTTCACGGAAAAATGTGTGTTCTTAAGAGAAGTTCCATTATTCCTGTCGTCATCAAAGATGATCATTACTTACCATTCTCCAATATGAAAGACTCTTGGTGAGCGCATGACAAGTGCCTCAAGTTTGTGTTGCAGGCAGTTGTTGGATACATGCTGAAGGCTCCAGTCCCAATTGTAGTCGTCAAACGTACAGAAGGCTTTTGCACAGTTATAGATTTCGTGCCACACGGATCGGTTGAATGCCATTCCCATGTTGTGCTTGCTGCTCAACCACGGTGTCTGCTCTACCTACACAACATTAACAAACGCAATCACTACAAGTTTGCTACCTGGATAAAGATTGCATTCAGAGCTTGGCATAATAAGGTGTGGGAAAGCAGCCTACATTGAAAGTGTAAAAGTTTTAGAGAAGACATTTTTAGACCCATTTTACAAAAATACCTTGATTTCTCAGCTTGAAGATCCTTAACTAACAGAAAAAAGGATACATTTTCACTGAGAATTTTAAGATTTACTTCTAAGTAATCAATTTTTTCTTACTTGGAAATTATAATTTTCTAAACTCTTTGTTTTAACAGTAATGAACACTCTGAAGATACAGAAAAATGAAAAAGAAAAAAAATAGAATAAACAAATAAAAATGTTTTTAATGAAACTTTTCAACATGGCCTAACTTTCTTGGATATTTTCAGTAAACATTTTTCCCTAGACAATTCACTGCTCCTCTGACATAAGAGCGTATCTTTATTTCCACATGAAACCCAAAAAGCATTGAGTTAGGTACACAGAGAACAAGGCTCACAAGGAAATTGAAATACCCCCTTACGTCAGAGGTGCAATTTATTAATTATCAAGAGACCTAGCCCAATACACACTACTGCAGGACAGGGCAGGGATTAATCAAATAATCAAGGTCAGTCAATAAAGGATCACGAAAAATTCAACAATGAATCCACAGGCTTTACAAACAGGCCCTTTACTGAGTCAAGCCTGTGGTTCACATGCAAGTCATCAAAGTCAGAAACAATGTAAAAAAAAGGACGTCACATTACGGAGAAGTAGTAAATTTTATTCACATACTAAAAACTTGAGATAAAACCCAATGCAATTGACGACCATGATTATGTTGATGACTTTGGTAGTTATTTGCACTCTATGACAGAGTAATACAATTTATGAAAATAGTAAGACTGAAAAAAAAAATATTTTTAGGACATTACAGGAATATCAATGGCTTTTTTCGCTAGTAATAGTCTTTTTGTTCCTAGGACTACTTTGGGAAATATTCACTATTCATTTAAATCCATCAGATAATTCAAAGACACTTTGTATTTTAAATGGAAAAAAATAATTTCATGCTAGGTGAAATATTAAATGGAGAAACAATGAAAAATATAAGGACCACGTATGTGAAGATCAAACAATATATTCATGCACACTTGACGGAGGTTCAACATTTTAAACACTGAACAGCTATTTTTCAAAAACAAACAAAATTAACTTGAGACCTTTTTATAGCAAATAAGTACGTAAATGTGACCATCGTGAGAAAAGGGACATTATTCCACAGAGGGAAAATTTTCAGTGGAGTGATTTCTGTCAAGTGTGGAGGAGAATCAGATTTTGAGATTTTGTAGGGAAATACTTTGAAGTATCCTAAAGAAGTAAGTTTTCAGAAGTTTGGAAAGTTTTCTCTCGAAACTACGTAATCTTAACTGAAAATCGACGGTGAAAGTCGGCAATCACATAACTCGGTTTGCGACGTCGCAGACTTCCTGTCATACTTTATTTTTTAAACGGGAAACTACTCAACGGTAATTCTTTAAAACTTCCATGATTTTTCTTCTATGTGCGAGGAAAATTCTGCAAAAACTTCAAGGAATAATGTCCATTTGTTCTCCTTTAAAAAAATAACATAGTTGTGGAGATTTTTAGACACCGCAAACGAGTTATGTGATTGCCGACTTGCACCGTCGAAATGTTCTTCGAATACTCTCCTTCGCTCTGGTATCAATATCTCAATTTTGATTTTTTGTGGATTAAGGTCCCAATTCTTAAGGACAATAACAAATATTAAATTCTTGCAATAAAAATAGGATGTTTTTTAGAACTTCTATTGTTAATTTTCTGCTTAGTTTTGAGACGGATTGCATTTGTAAAAAAAAATCATTATCCCAGCCTGGGAAAACGGAAACTCAGTACCTTGCAACAAACTTGGAAACAGATGAACCAGGCAAATGAAAAGACAAATAAAAAAATTGAAAGTAGTTCAATACCTACAAATGTGTGCGCTAGGCTGCTAGCTTATTTTTACAGTATAGAAAGATAATTGGCGAAAAACTATCAGGGTTTGCTTTGAGTGAAACATATTATTCTAAGACTCTTTAAAAAAGAATTTTAGGTAGTATATTTAACTTTCTTATAAAAGGGAGGAATGGTCCAAATGAGTTTATAACGCAAACGAGCCAATTGCAAGTTCCAATAAAAAAACACTGAACAAAGGCAGAAAATTATTTGATAAAATGTCAGAAGCCAGTAAACATTGAAAGGAGAAAATTTGATTACACCAAAGAAATTCGAGAAGAAAAATTATACTTTTACAAAAATAATTTGAGAAGGAAAAGATCTTTAAAAGTGCATCTATAACGAACAATTGTCCTCGTATTGTTCTGGAACTAAGACAGTCAATGAGACGCTTGTGTTAACAGTGAAAGTCTGCCGATCCGTGCAAATAGACAAAGAAATTTTTTAATTTGTTTTCAATGTAGTGTGCAGGAACCAGAAAACGGTAAAACAATCCATCTTTACATCAAAAATAGGTTATGAACGCAAATTGGATTGGCACACATGCAAGAGGGTAAAGTGCGCTGATAGGTTTGATGGATTCAGCAAATATGTACCGATTGGATCTAATGTCCAAAAAGTATTGGTAATAAGGAAAGTGTGTACAAATTTCCTTACAAACCCATTAAATTAGAGGGAAGAGACAGTCCCGCCTCATGAAAAAAAAGGAGAGAGAATAAAGATAAGCAAGCCTTCACCATCAAACCTGAGGTGCTACTGAGGACTGGGGTGAAGCTAAACATCAACACAACAAAACATTTACGAAGGGGATAACATGGACGACGACGATTGGCAAACCTTCTGGTAATGTTGATAAAGAGACGGTAAAACTTGAAAACTCCACGATGGTGATGGAGGCGAGTTGGCAGCGTTGCTCGAGTAGATTTGGTGCTTTTTAACAAGTCTTAACGCTTCTTTCTGTCAGCATGAATCAAGCAGGCCAATCAAAAACTACTCATCTTAGAAGCAAGATGTATGGTCACCACATTTCAACAGTACTTACAAATGATTTTTTACTTGGGACAAATTGGGACGGGGCCCAGGCCAGGCAAAAAGACTTTCCAATACTCCAGCCAGCCATATTTGTACACTTGCTTAGGCAGCCTTGAATTTTGGTGCCTAATGCAATTATACTACCATATAACGCAATTAGATAGACGCCACATAAGTGGGGGGAAAACGGCATATTTCGGCTGTAGGCAAGGAGCCAGTTCGGCCAATATGTATTTATCCCTCTGGAATTGAGAGTACTGAACCAAGATTTTTTTCAGAATTCTTTTTTTCATTGCATCATATTAGTGAAATAAGCGTTTGGGAAAACATATAAATAAGGCAGCTCTTAAATACAGTTTTCTCCACTTATTTAAGATCATTAAAACCTATGTCATCCTTGCAAGTAATTTTGCAGGAGGATACTGGACACGAGCAGGAGGTCTTTGCTCGCAACAAAAGGGCAACAATTTTATAGGTGCGAGAATTTCCTTAGCCAGGCCAAGTCTTGTGTTTTTCTAATGTATGGTTCAGCCTCTCAGACCTACTGCTTTCTGGTGGGTCACTGGGTAATCTCTTGCATTATGTGTTTTCAGAAGGATATTACGTTGTTTGAAAGCAGGTTTTGGAGAGAAGCCTGCAGCTTGAAAATTAATTTTTGTAGTCCATGATTTGAAAATCATGATTTCATATTGTCCATCAATTTCGTGGGGATTGCGGGGTGCTCACAGTTTTCCTTTACCTCCTGATGAATAAAACTGTCCAAAAAAGAAAGATCCACTGATCGAAACTGACTCATCTGCAATTCTCTTTATCATGTTCAAATTTTCTCAGTTAAAACTACTAAAAATGCCGAGTGATACCAAAAATAAGTTGATCAGTAAAAAATGTGACAGGATAGAAAATTATAAAACGCCAAATGCTGATAGTTTTATGTGGCAAAATGCCGTTTGCACTGTAATGTAAAGTAACACACATCACCTTGACTATAGTCTACAACACAATAAGTGGGGACCAAGGGGTCGAGTTAGGTGAGCAGCTCAATCTATTTTTCAAGAGTTGATTGGCTTCGACAAGCTCCAGCCCTTGGAATATGCCAATGTACCTGCTTTCATCTTTTTAACAATACCTCAAGCCAGTCACTGACCGCGTCCCCCAGCCACCACTTTCGGTGTTGCAGGCGTAGTACTGACCAACAAGAAAACAAATATGAAAGCATAAGCCCCTTTGGAAAAAAGAAACTAATGACAAAACATGAGAGTCAGCTTTTTAGTAATGTTATCATTTATACATTCTGCTGATCTTGATGAATGAATCTCTTTCCTGTTGCTTTATCTCAGTTATAATTAGCAAGCAAGGACAATGGACCTGTGAAAAAAGCTATGCGTGTTAAACCTCACCAAAGCATGATCTATTCCATCACTTTAGCATATGATTATTTACAAATATACAGTTTCAGCAATTCTTAGAGCTTCTGGAAAAGTTGCTATGCATCACTATACATGAAAGGGCTTCATAAATTATCGGTAATAATGAAAAAAAAATTTTGAAACACTAGAAGACCTTGTGAAATCATATATTATTATGATAGGTCTATAAAATCATTTTTATTCACAGCCTAACCTCTTCTAGGTACATCATTGCCCTTCTGAGCTAATGACGTAACTACATACACTCACGCTAAACTCCATATGACTCATGGTTTCCTTGGGCTCATCTCTTAGTATATTTACGCCTTATGGTCAACCAAACGATGAAATAGGCTAATAAAACTCGTGTCAGGTAATATAAGAGTTGTTTACTTTGGACTTCTTGCTCAATTGACTAGTTTACATCTCATAAGAGCAGCAGCATCATCACCTTGAATAGTGAGGTTACAGGATGACCACAATGTGATACTCAGGTGAAATTAATCCTTTGATTGTGCCGACAGCCCGAAATAAACAACTATCAACTTGTCTGTTTTCAAATTGCAACAGTTAGCTGATTGACTTTAGTTGAAGCCATAAAATTTGCTGTATATCAATATTTTAAGAGTAAAGTTTCCAAATGATGAAAGAAAGAGATGAGCACTGCAGGAATTTTAAAAATTTAAACGATAGCTTGTAATTTTTTCCCCTCATCATTGGTTTTTGAATGTCTACCGATCATTTAGAGCTGAGATGAACTCCTCATTGAGATTTGTCCTTGAAAGGGCTCTGAAAAAAGTCCTCAATTTCTAAAATTTCTGCAGTGATAAGTGGTTCTCTCAAAACAGATAGTGAAATGTATAATTTACCTTTTGTGCATTGTCATAATAAGTGTAGGTTTTAAGGTAGGTTCCTAAAGAGAAAATATTGCATTGAGGACACGTAACTCTAGCAGTCTTTTCCATCAGTCCTAGGACATGAATGAAATCTTCCGCTAAATAATGGTCTTCTTCCAAAAATAACACTAAACCTGAAAGCATAAATCAATGGAAGTTGAGACTGAGTGAATTTTATACTCTAGAGTTGAGAATTTAAAATTCCAAATTCAACTTTATTAATTTTTGGTTCCAGTTGCACCACTGCTCTGATCCACATGAATGGTTGAATAGGACATTGTTAATGATGGACAATAATAGAAACCTCATAAAGGCTTGTCAACATTTGATACTCTGAAACTATGATATGGGATTTAGAGTTTACACTATTCAAAAATGATAAGACCCGAGTTAGCATGCAGGCAAGGTGTGACAAACAGTGTCTTTAGAGATCTACTGGAACAGAACTGAGGTTTATATTCAAATGAATTATTGACTCTGATGTATTGGGAACCAAACTTGTCCTGTTCCTCTCTCTTCTCTCCCCCAAAATTCTCACCTTCACTTAAATTCTATTCCTTGAAGGCAGAAAAGCCTTTTATTAAGTCAAGTTGGAGACATTCTGAAAATTTTAGATGATTCCTAAACAATATTTGTCCTAATCAAAATTGATAGAGTTCAAATTACCTGTATGATTTCGAGTGATTTCTAATTGATTAAATACCCTATTTGCCTTCCACCACCAGTGATGTTTGGTCTGTGTAAATTTGGCTTCCCTGTAGTGACCATACACATCTGGGTGGAGAGCATTGTTACATCTAGAAGCTATTGCCCTGTTAACAAAGGAAAAAAGTGATGCAACACGGTAAAAATAAGCTGAATAAGAGGCTCTGCAAAATAAACTAGCAGCATATCATTTTCTGTATTTTTCTTTACAACTTGTTTTATACATGGCCAACTACATTAACCCAAGTAGCAGTGATCGTAATAAATTACGATTTCATCGGTTGGTTATGTGTTGGGTGTTGGTAACAGTGTAATTTGCAAGATTGCTCAGTATCAACTGAGCGCTAAAAATAAAAATTAGCATTAAGAAATATAAACTCCAAAATTTTGTGATGCATTGTAGTTTTTTTCCTTTCTTTTTTTTCTCTTGATTAAAAGGTTTTAAGAAGTCCAACTTTGTTCTGGGGGTAATACAATTTGAGGAAGCTGCCTAAATAGTTTTCAAGGCTCATTGTCTCACATATTTATCATATCTTTTCAAGTATTTACCGTTAATATACGAAAGGGTCTTTTTTTTTTTTTTTCAAATTCTATTCCTATTTCCATCACTCCCATTAGTTTCCTCTTTCACAAAATTCAGATTATCTTTCTATTTCGAAATTTGTTATCTGTCTTATCAGTGAGCAGGACCATTACCTCCTGATGCTTCCAATGATATGTGGTTACACCACTACATTCCTAAGCATATCTCTCTGTGTATAAAAGGGGAGATTTTATCTAATGCCTGGTCTTTTTCCATCATTGACCCATGTGTACATAGCGTGCCATTCAAATTTTATTTTTCTATACGTGGTGTGGTGCCTTGCTGTTTCAAAATGAGAGCTGACTTTAATTCTTTTTTTTATAATTTATCCTACTCAAAAACTAATCTATCTTTCAAACTAGACAATTAAATCTGAGGTTTTGGTCTGAGGTATGGTTTTTTTTAAAATATTTGAAGTAGGTATGAAGATTTTTCCGAGACACCTTGAAGCGACAATTTGTCTGAATTGCAATTGTAGTGCCCTAGAAGTAGACTGAAAGGATACGTACTGCTCTTTATTGATATTCCGGGGACAATCTCCAGGAGACTCCCCTGGGAACTCATTCGAGTGGGTCTGTATGGAAAATGGATAGAATATCTGAATAACTTTGCAGAAATCAATTGTTTGAACAAGCTCATTAATTTCATCATCATAGTAATCATGACTGAAGACAAGCAGCACGTTCTCGATTCCTTTGGCTTGAGCAAGACTTACTATCATGTGACGTAGGTACATTATCCTGGTATGTACCTGAAATCATAAAAAATAAACATATCCTAGTAAATTATGGCTTTGAAAGGAATTTTTTTTTTTTTTTTCTATTAATTTATTGTAATCTATCACTGAGATATTATATACATTGTTTCTATAATTAAATTAAGTAGATTAAGCTAGAGACTACCTCGTAGCTATTAACGAGCCATGGAAGCGAAATCCCATGGCTTCGTTCTCTTGAGTCTTCTCAGCTCGTTGGAATTATCCAAGAGAGCCAGTGCTTCTACGTTGGGGTGGGAATGAAGACAGTTCTCGTATCGCTTGGCGATTTTTGAAATAAAATCTTTAACCGTCTCCATTCCCAGATCCCTATGTATGTCGCTATTCCTCTCGAACCACCTAGCCGACACAATATTCCTTAAAATCTTATTTTGCAATGTTTGCAATTTGTTTATGTTTGAGGGTGCAGAGCACCCCCAGATTTGGGATCCGTAGGCCCAAGTAGGTCTTATTATTTGCTTGTAAATTAAGAGTTTATTATAATTATTTAATGTAGATTTTTTCCCTAGTAACCAATTAAGTTTTTTAAATTTATAGTTGCATTCTTGTCTTTTCATTTTAATATGCGGTTTCCATTTTAATTTAGTGTCTAAGTTTAATCCTAAATATTTAGCAGTATCTGAAATGGGTATAAGGGTATTACAGAAGTTAATTTTTTGATTAATATTGATAGATCTATTGGAGAAGATTTTAAAAACAGTTTTAGTAGAGTTCATAGCTATGTCTTTTTCGTCTTTCCATTTTTCTACATTTGATAAGTTAATTTCCAGGTTGTTAATTGCGATATCTTGAGATTTGTGAGCAGCTAAATAGGTGGTGTCGTCAGCAAATTTTCCTAATAAAGCATCCCTAGTAGGTTTGGGGATATCTGAGGTAAATATTAAATATAGTAGAGGCCCAAGAACTGATCCCTGTGGAACTCCTGCAAGGATCTGGCATCTAGATGAGAGAGCCTCCCCCACTCTTACTTGGTAAGTTCTGCCCGTAAGGTATGATCTTAATAATTTTACATGGGAAGCTGGTATTAGGCGTGAGAGCATTCTTATCAGTAATTTATGGGAAACCCTGTCAAAGGCCTGCGCTACATCCAAAAAGGCTGCAGCGCAGTATTCCTTTTTTTCTAGGGCCCTCTCGATGAAGCTAGTTACCCTATGTAATTGCTCTATTGTAGCATGTTTGGCTCTAAATCCGAATTGATGATCAGGGAGGATATTTTTACTATTTATTATTTTTAGTAGACAAGGTAAGTATGTTCTCTCCCATAATTTTGCAATGGAAGATAGAAGTGATATAGGGCGGTAAGAAGAAGGATGTTTTGTGGGCTTGCCATTCTTATGAAAGACTATGATAATTGCTTCTTTGAATAGTTTTGGTACATATTGTAGGTCAAAAATGGCATTAAATATTTCTACTAGTTTATGTATAGCTTTTTCGGGTAAGTTCTTGAGAATGAGCCCAACTATGAGATCTTCCCCTGGTGCTTTTTTTGTTTTGCAACGATCAATAGGAATTTTTTGATACATTTAAAATATTCTTCACAAGATTTGTTCATGGTTTACAGGTTTTAATATATTAGAGGTGGGTTCAATGGATCCAAAATAAGCATTGAAATTAAACTGAAGATCATATGAATTTAAAGCAAAGCTTGGTTTTAGTAATTGTAATGAAAAGAAATTGAGAATCCGAGCTGCGGGCTGCCGGACAAAATCAAACCATTTTTTCCAGCCAGTTCTTGCACCGACTTCCGCATTCCGCCCGAACATTAGAGGCAACTAGTGTTATTTTTGAAAAGGAGCCGAAATTTATTTCTGATTGTTAATTTTAAGGGGTAAAGACGCTACATGTAATTTAAACCTTATACTTTGTTCCTTCTATATTATAAGCCCCTACATTTATTTATGTACTCAATTTATATTTAATTCACTCATTGTAATCTAATCACAATATGCAGTACCTGTATATTATGTGAATACAGCATGAATACAGCATACATGATACTGAGCAAGCATTACCTGAATAACTAGAACAAGAGAATCATTGTAAAGTGGTCCATATATATTTTGATTGAGTACAGTTTGCATCTCATTATACTTTTCAATATTTCGTTGTATCTCATAAGGATCAGGCACTTTGGGAACATTGTCTCCACTGAAATTGCTTGGTTTTACTGTCAGGTACTTTTGGTAGGCCTGAAATTAGAGGAAAAAGAAAAATTACCACATACAGAGAAGTTTAAATTGAGAAAGAAAAAAAAAAGAAAAGAAGTTGCCCAGTCCATAGCTTTCAAGTCATTTACTTTTTCACTCAAAAACTGTGAAGCAGATTTTAAAATATTTTCATTGGGATTGTACCATAATATTAAGAAAAATTTCTATAATTATCAGAGTTGCTGGTTAATAGATTTTTTCATGCAAAAATACAGGGAGAAAACTGACACTACAACAGAGCCATGCACTTGCAGCGTTGTAGTCTGGAAAGACAAATCTTTACATCCCTCCTTTTGGGAGTAAAACAGATTAAACCAGAGTAGGCAAATAAATAAGGTCTGAATACTGATCTATAGAGAAAAGAGAAAAATTCATATAACTAAATATTCAAAACTGCATTCCAAATTGAAAAATTAAAATCGACTTTGAATCAATAGAATAATTGCATTAAAAACACACAACACTGATTTACCACCTGATCAACATTGATCGCAATCATGAAACTATCTAGCTCAGGGGTTGATTTCATAACTTTCAAAGAACTTGGTGTTTTTATACAATTTGTAAGAGAATAATGTTTTTCTTTTTTTTTTACATTGTCCCAAAGAAAGTAAGGGATGTAATGAGTGCTTGGATCGAAAGTACATCCACCATCCCATTTAACGCAATACTCTTTGACCAATGCGGTGAATTAATCTGTGCCTCCACATTTTATTGTATTCTATCATTTCTAGAATAAATCATAGAAGATATAAAAGAAACCAAAACAATCTCCGTCAATGATTTTCTCTGATAACAGCTTCGTTTGCAGAACAGTGGAGTATTTTAAAGAAAATAAGTAGAATACATAAAACAAAACAAAAAACCCATAAGACATAGTAGACGGGTTACAAAGAAATAAAAAGATTCTGCATTAAAATTAAGACTGGTCATCAGGTACTCTACCGTGCTAAAGAATAACGCCGTATGAACATTCGAGATTTACCAAATTTCCCCAGATAAAACATGTATTCTTCAGGAAAGTTAAGCAAACTTTTCCTTGAAATATTCAGATATTTTAGATTAAATTGCAAACTAAGTTTCCTGACAAATTTGAGGAAAAACATTCACAATTTTCCCGGTGAATTCAATTTTCATGGAAGGAAAAATGGTAACGTCTATGGGCTCATACGACATTCTTCCTTAGCATGGCAATACTGGTGAGGGCAGTTGTTGCAAGATGAAAGATTCATTTCTTTTAAACTCTTAAATTCTCAAATGATTGACTTACAGATGGAACCATATTAAAGACGCTAATGGAATCAGATACGGTATCATTGTCGGCGGAGGAGGAGCCTTTGTCAGCCTTTGAGTTGGCGATGTGGGTGAAGTAGAGCTGGAGCCAAAAGAAGAGCACCAGGAAGAGGAACAGCAGCGGGCGCAGACACGTTGACGAGCGACGACGAGCAAGCTGAGAAGTGACCGGAATCCGAATGCTTCGACCATTCACTGTGCCAAGAAAAAAAAGAAAAAAAAAATTAAGTGACATTTGGAACTTGCAATTGATGAAATTTGATTGATTTTGAGAGAAAAAAAGAAGAAAGAGAGAAAAAAATCTACTCTTTTAATTTTAAGCAATAAAACATGTACTCTGGTCATCAGCTTTTGAACTTGGAAAATTACCTCCAAAAATCTAAAATCCCATTGCTTGTGGAAGGGATGGTAAAATTTCATAAAAAATAAAATCTTGAAAATTCATATGAAATATTTTATGAAATTTTCGAAATTTATGATAGATATTGAAAAATACCGGTTCCTTTCCATGTGCCGCAAAATTGAAAAATTGACTTTCTTCTATTTTTGTGTGTTTGAGTGCGGGTTGCATATTCTAGCCCCAAAAGAACATGCAATATTTCACAGCTTCGTGAAATTTTATGAAATATTTCATTGAAATTTCCAATTTTTCATTTCTTTCTAACGTTTCATGCCACCCTGCTTGTGGAGCAATGCTCAACAGTCACTTTGTAGGAACTTAAAAAATCTTACTTAATGTAAAAAAACTTAGTCTCAGTTAAAAGTTGGAAGGGTGTTTGGGTTAGTTGGAGGGAAAAAAGTTTTTAGGTAGGTCGCCAAAATCCCGCATTTTCGCCCTATTTACTAATGCACAGCACAATGGCGAAGAATTAATTTGTTTTGACTGGGGTTTTCTTTTTCCCCCGCAACGATTTGCTTCTAAGATTTTCAAAAAAACAAAGCTATTTCAACATCTTCAATCCATCAAAACGCAATTGATCTACGCTAATCCTGAGAACTTTATCTAAGCTTATCTAAACCAGGGATTAAACTCAATTCAAAATGGAAAACAGAAATTCGGTATTGATATACGAGAAAATCCTGTAGGTAAAAATCTGTGGATATTCAAAAGATTTGCGATTAACTAGGTTTACGTGATGATTAACCCTGCCATTGAAGAAAAAACGAGTTGAGAAATGTGACACGAGCTTAAATTAGTTATCTTCATATAAAATTCTGACTACTGATCTTCTACTGATTGATCCTGATTGGCAAGAGGGTCTAAAAAACGACGGACTGTGATTTCGAATAACTAAAGCTAAGACGGTATCTAAGGCGCCTGCAACAGCGTGGATATGCCTCGAGCGTTGCGTTCACGCAACGTAAAATGCCATTCTCGGTATAATTAGTGTGATCGCACGGCTCCTCTCAACGCATTGAGAATATCACATATGCCTGAAAGGTAGGCAATATACAAACAGAGCTATGGTAAGAAACAAGCATCATATTTACCTCGCATCGCTCAGCTGGATGCCAACTTGCAAGAGCTGAAAATACAAAGAAAAAATGTTGAAGAATGCAATAAAAAATGAAAATTTCTGAAGCTGTAAATAAAAATATTAACTTCTGCCTCGATTCTCTGAGGAAATCTGACTTTGACTTCCTTGCTTCCCTGGAAAGGAGAAAGATCCTTAGCTCAAATCGACTCGAATTCTGTTAAATGATCGGTCGCTTTTCAATTTAGCTTACTTAGTGAATACGGGGTTACACGTTTGTAAGTCTACCTTCGATAAGGAGCTTTTTGAGCACGGACCTCAATATGCGACGAGTCGTAAGAAATCTCTCATTTTGGTGTTATTTTGAAAAAAGATTTAAAAAAATGCCACACTAATTACAAGCCTCGATAGACTATCAAATTCCGAAGCCAATTTCTATCTAAGTGTTGGGAGTCATCGGTCTTAAATTCGTCACGTCCCATTATTTTCGAATGAAAACTTGACAGAATAAGAAATGATGAATGATGCCACTCCTTTTGGATCAAAATTGCCCAATTTTGATCAAAGAAGAATGCTCCATGGTGACCACCATTCATCAAATGGTCTACTAACTTAGTTTGGAATTGGTTCGGAATTTGATCGTCTATTGAGGCTCTTACAATGCTCATAGTGGATTCCAGGTCCTACCTACTTTCTTGGTCATGGTTTCAACATTCCTTTTATGGTGACTAATAGTTCGGTCCTGGTAACAATGCTGCATTGTTACACAGAGGAACCGAAATAACTGCATGTTAACGTAACCGTAACATTGTAACTAAGACTAAAAAAGAAGGTGGGACTTGAAACACACTATGGGTATTGTATAAGGACAACAATCATCCTTTGAAGAATGAAATGGACCGCATTCAGCAAAAAAGAACCAAGCCACATCAGCTATTGCCAAAATTATCTGAGCAATTTAATTGCTTACAAGATAACGTTTGTGCGGATTCTTTGGAAAATTTTACAGAAGTATCTTCGCAATATGCAGAAAACTCTCTGAAATTCGCACGAAAATCCGCACTAAGTACCGTTTCCATGTAAAAAATTAAATCGCCTGATTAACTTTGGCACTAGCTGCGGACCGATTATTGAAATTGACACACAAAGCTATAGGTAGACAAAGATGACAAAAGGGATATGGAGGGAACCTACTGGTGGAACTTGGTGGTTGCAATGGACAAAGGCAGTAGGTAATAGATTAACTAACGGCAACCCACGAGAAGCCCGACAGTTAGTCCATCATTTTCTCCCTCAGTCTACAAGAACCACACATTTCAGCCAATAGGATAGCTCCATACCCCCTATGTCTTCTTTGTCTATAGCTTTGTCTATCAATTTCAATAATCGGCCCGCTGACGTGGCTTGGTTCCTTTCTGCTTAAAGCGGTCCAAATGGAAGCTGAGATTTTGGAATATCGAAATCTATAAACTTAGTTCCTACTTCCATCATGGATACAATAATTAGGCTAAATTTTGCTATTGAGAACTGCAAATTCTGGCTCAGTTTAGAAAAAAAACGTATGCGCCCTTAGTTTCCCTATGCACATAAGTGTTTTTACGGATGTTCCTGATTGCAAAATTTAATCGGATTGTGTGGGTGCTTACGAATGAGCGGGTGTGACTAGAGGATGGAGGCCGCTTCCGAGGGGACCCGGGCTGCGACTCATGATCCGAGTATGGTTGGTCGCTCATCGAGAAAACACCGCAGCATTATTTTCATCACTGAAATCATACAACAACACACCGAATTAGTAAAACTGACAAGTGAATCAGTGAGTTCTAAAACACACCAAATCGGAAAAAAAAATGTTCAGGAAACACCTAAAATTGCGCAGCGGGCGAAGAAGTTAGTTTAAGAAAAACCTTTTTGGTGCCAAAGGACAGGTAGGTACTTAAAGACTTTGTAAAGCACTAAGTTGAAATCGATACACCATGTTTGATGACAGAGAATTAAGCGTTTACAAATTTCCGAGTTGGTGTGTTTTCATTCTCACCGACTTTCAGATACTTCAGATACTTTCAGATATTTTCAGGGCAGACTATGAAAATAGTCTGCCCTGAAAAATGTATATTTTTCAACCTGAATAACGCTTGAATATTTATGTAACTTGTTTGTACAAAGTGTGCTGAACCGAAAAAAGAAAACCGCAAAATCGGGTGGTCACCCGTTTACCTTGAAATGGCCAAAAATTGGTATTTCCAATGAAATACTTCGATTTTACCCTTTTCCCGTCGCTGTTTCGAGCACTCCCGATTTCAATTTCGAAATTTCCTTTTGCGTGCAGATGCTTCTATCCATAAGTGTTACTAAACCGTAAAAAAAAGAAAATCGAAAAAAAACCCGAATTGGTGTGTTTTCAAACTCACTGATTCAATTATTTTGCACATTTTAATGAAACGTTTTCGTCAATCACCTCTCCCAAAATCGTTCTTCTCACGATAGAACGTAACTAGATTTCAATGTTGCTAAATTTCTTCTCATAAATTGCGTAGGAATGTTGGGCGTTTCTGACCGAGAATTTCTGATTTTTATTCTATTCTTGTGAACAAATCAGAAAAATGGTAACTGATACATCAAACGACCTAAAATCCAAAAAATAAACTTATTCAATGTTTTCATCTACCTACATGTAATAGAACAAGCAAAAGATGAAAATACTCGTACAACTCACAAAAACATTTCGTTGCATTTTCATCTTTTGCTTGTGTTAACATTATGTAGGTAATTGAATACACTGAATTATTATTTCATTTTTTGGCTTTTAGCTCGTTCGATACATAATTTACTATGGCCAGGGCCGGATTAAGGGGGTGGCCAATTTTTTTTTAATGTAGGTATAAAAAAATCGGATTCAGAAAAAAAAAATTAGCAATGAGAAAAGGGGACAAAATTTCTCTTTCCTGAGAGTAAACTAATTTCTAATTTTGTCGTTTTTCGGTGATACAAGAGACAGCATCTTTAATTAGTCGAGTTAAGAGAGGAACTAAACATGCAATTTGGCCTGGAGCTCAGCGCAGAGAGGAATGATGACGAGGACTTAGGATGAAAAGGACAAGCCCTCGGCGCGGCGGTCGGCATGTAACACATATTAGCGCCTACGAAACTGCATGAATACTTCACCCATTGCGTCAAACACGGTGCGGTCAGGAGCGGTAGGCGTGAAACGCATAGTGCCTACAAGACTGCAGGAATACTTCACGCATTGCGCCAAACACAATGCGATCAGCGCGGCGCAGCGGCGGAGGTTAAAATTATTAAACCACATTTATGTTTGTTCTTTCATAACTGTTTGTTTCATTTCTTATAAATGGAGGACCTTGTCCACACAGAGATAGGTTTACGGAACTTAACTTTCGCGCAAAGTTCCGTGAACTTTTGCTAGTAGTGTTGACAGGGCTTTCGCAAAAAATGTATCCAACACGAGTAGGTAAACGCGTCTTGTGCACCCCTTCCCCTCCGGCGCGTTCACTTGATGGTTTTTATTGATGTTTTAAAAAGGAATGAGAAGGGGGCGGCAAAATACAGGCGGCCCATGGGCGGCAAGTGAGTAAATCCGGCCCTGGCCATGGCTTTAATAACTTGACCAGCCATTTTTGGCGTTAAAATGGACCTAATCAGAAGAATGTTGAATAAAAATTACACGGGTACATTCTTCTTAAGATGTCAATTGTTTGACTCAATTTGCGACTTCGAAATGAAATTACGTTCCTTCGCCGGGAAATGACGAACAGTGCAACTGTAGGCGCTTTGTCTTTAAGGATTTGCAAAGTTTTACTTCTTTTCACACAGGGATCTCTCGATTTTTTACTGATGAAAATCGATTTCATCGATTAATTTTTCAATTCAAAGTCAGAAAAATTTATCAAGCTACAAAATGTCTTAATCTTTCACGATTTAACATGACAACAAGTTTTCGTAAATTTGAAAATTTCCTGATTTTTTAAAGGATAATGAGGGTAGGCACTTTCCCCTCGAGCGGGGATGAAAATTGAACTACGTCGATAAAGCACATGAAGATGATTCTACCCTTTTATGATATATTTTCATATTAGAACAATAGAAATCGAAGTTGGATAGCTGAATTTCCTGAAATTTTACGGTTATGAAATTTGCTAACCATCCCGAGTTTCTCCTGCGGTTACAATAATGTGTCGCCCTGTTCAATATGTTAGTCATCAAGTTTAACTGTCACGATATTGAACACTGCATTTCCTGAAAATGGTACGATTTTGAAAGAAATGTTCGTAAGTATTCGTCTTGACGATATTTTACGAAACTCAAAAAGATCAAAAGATTTATATAGAGAACTCCGACCTGAATATGTTCAGCATTATCTTGTCAAAAAGAAATTTAAAGTGTTCATTCAAGATAGGATAATTGAATTTATTGACTGAACTTTTGACAAAATACTTGATGTGACTAAAACATGGGTTCGACGAAACGTTAATAGAAAGATTAAAACTGCACATCAATCACACTTCAAAAACAAGCGCAAAAACAGGCTATTACGGTACACCGCACCGGAAAAGATTTAATTGGTTCATCGGTTTAGGACCGCATTGAAAGAAGAAGAAATAAAAGCACCACTAAGTTCCCCTTTCAAAATTTCACTCGAAGCAAGATGCACAAATTGAAATTTGTTTAAAGTCAGCTCATAAACAAGAATTCAACATACCCATTGAATTGGGTAGTTTAAAGTTCTCGCTCGGGAGAAAAATAAAAATATAATGCACATCAAATGGCAACCGAAGACGCGAATATATAATACTCTAGGACATACGCATACCCTCTACTGTCCCTCCGACGAAAAGGGTTAGATTAAACCAAGAATGAGAATTTACGTTAAATTAAACTGAGGGGCATTGAGTCAACTACAGAAGACGAAACGCCAACATTCAGTGTATTTTATTATTAATTTTCTTGCGTGATGGGTACGTTGAACCTCCTGAGTGAAATCGTGCTCCGGTAAGTCTGGACATGAGAAAACTTTGCGGGAATTCTTTATCAAGCACAGATAAAAATTAACCACACGTCTGACATCGAATGACGTTATGAACAGACAAAAATGATAAAAAATTCAGATCTGAGGTGGTTTCAATCATTTCATATCTTCCATCGTCGTAAAAAATCACATTTTAACAGGATAGCTGCACACTTCAAAATAAAATAATACCGAAGTTTCTTTTTTTTTTTTTTTTTTTTTTTTTTTAATTGTTTAAAAAATGTATCATTAACCCCTTACGCGGCTATTACTAATCTTAAAACTAGAACTTAACGTATGCTATTTTTTTTTGTTTTTAGAGATTTTCAAGGAAAAATATTAATTACTTTTCATATAAAAAATAAAATATGAAGGGACACATGCAACGTCGGAAACGGAGGTACGCACTTTTCCAAATTGATCATCGAATTCACAACAAAAAGACAGGGGAGAACTAATTTTTGGAGGATTGGTTTCCAAATTTTCATAGCGCGGAAATTCGGCAGATACTTAGGAGGGGACAAAACCGAAGGATTGCACCCCCCCTCTCCCTCCCCCGGGAAAGGCGAAGGGTAGCACGAGAGGGGATGGTCTCTACAAATCTCCCGAGCCCAGTAGCGGGCGCGAGTTGAATTTAGATGAGTCGGTTCGACTGGCATGCCGTGTTTTGCCAAAACCGCGTAACAATATTCACGATTACGATTAGAGATACGTGGTTCTTGCACGGAGGGGTAGTCGACTTGCCCGATATTTGGCCAGCATCTTTTTTCTCCGCTCCGTCGGACAACACAACGGTAAAGAGCCGGAAATGGACGGATTATCTGAGAACGTATCTGAGCTTCAACTATGCTACGGTCGGGAGGGCAATTTGTAAGAAGCGGCGCTTCGTGGTGATTCCCATGATGTTCACGGGTGTGAAAACGGCTCATAAGTTGAACTTTCCTCAAAGGAGATGTTTCCGAGTGGTGATGTGACTGAGAAATATTTTAACTGAACTTGCGGAAAATGAACGTATCTCACGGCGAGTAAGTGGTTCGCTCGTTTAGGCTAGAACAACCAAACTTTTCAATTTTCTAAAATTCGCTGCAACGGAGATATTGCATGTGTGAGAAATTTGCGATTTGACTGTTGGTTCTTCTGTAAAAGTTCGCGAGAAACACGATGGTGCCACTGATTTTCTCTGAAATAAACTCCCAAGCTCAAAAAAAGCTCTCAAGTTGAGGCCAAAATGGAGGGGATATCCCACGCATCCTGAGAGTCCACGTCTACATCAAGACAAACTGTCCATGCAAAGGTAGGGAGCAAATGCATTAGCAGGATTGCCGTGTTTTCAGTTTTGGAGTCCCCAAATAAAGTGGCAGCCCTGTCAATGTATTTGCTCCCTACCTTTGCATGGACAGTTTGTCTTGATGTAGACGTGGACTCTCAGGGTAGGGTGAGATGATATCCCCTCCATTTTGGCCTCAACTTGATAGCTTTTTTTGAGCTTGGGAGTTGATTTCAGAGAAAGACAGTAGCGGCATCGCGAACAATTACATAAGAATAAACAGTCAAATTGAAAATTCCTCACACATGCATCATCTCCATTCAGACAAATCGTTTCTAGAATTGGATCCAGCTTTCGTTTCCTTTCCCCTCAAAATATTGTTAGACCTCATAAGGTCATCGTTAAGGTGTTTTGTTCAGTTAAAAAAAGGAACCCACCTCTGGAGCCTTCAATGGTATTTTTTTCCAAGAAAA